TATTTGTTGTTCAGAGACCCAAATTCAGTTTTTTTACTTTCTTTCAAATATTGTCATAGAACTATGAAAGTCTTTACCAAACGTCAATACCTATTCGTAAAAAGACTATCTGTACACCTATCAATAAAAATAGCAGAAAGCTCGATTCTTCTCTACGAAAAAGCTCTCATTTCTTATTTGATCTTTTCAAAACATCTGTAGCGAATAACAATGGATAATAAAGTAAAAGAGTATATATAACCTTTTGTCTCCTTTCACTGCTTCACTATTTTGTTATTTATTTATTTCTTCCTTTTCTTGTTTAGTTTCGTACTCGATATATGAATATTTGAATAAAAAGTGAAGCTTTGAAATGAGACCAAAGGAAACCAAACGAAAACAAGAGTATAAACTGCGAATGGTCATATTTGAGCACATTTCAAACCCAGGGATATCACCAAAATGACATACCGATGAAAATATGTTATTGTAAAATAATAGCCAAATTCTATTTTACACACCAGACACCAGAACCATACGTACTAACTAATAATTGACCATCCTTTAAAACAGTTATATATCTAGGATCCTCGATTACAACAGAGGTCTTTCCTACAAAACGACCATCCAATGTAAATTTTTGTACGCGGTTATTACCATAATCACACACCAGTAGATGATGGTCATTATCAATAGCCAGGCCACAAGGTGCATTTAGCTCACCATCAGCACTGCCTTCACCACCAATCGTCGATATTCTAGTCGGTACGTTACCTTTCTTCTCAAATACATGAATAACGTGATTATCATAATCACTGACGTAAAACAGTCCATCATGTTTTATCACATCAAATGGATCAAACGCGTCCTGTGTTGTCAAACCAAACTGATATTGATAGTCACCGTCTCTTGTGAAGACTTGAACACGGTGATTACCATTATCACACACAATGATGATACCATCGTCATCAACGTGTACACCCCAAGGATTAAAAAACTGTCCATCCCCGTTACCATGGTTACCAAAGGCTTTTACGAATGTCCATGTTGTAGTGTTCACTATACATATTCTATGATTACCACAGTCTGCTATGACTAAATCTGTATCATTCAGAAATGCTAAACCTTGAGGACTATCCAACTGTCCCTGTGCACTATCTTGGCTATAAAACGTCAGTAAGAGATCTCCATCAGTGGTGAATACATGGACACAGTGAGAAGAACCATTTGAAACAGCGATCCTGCTGTTGTCTCTGTTTACTGCTATACCTCTCACATAACTAGTATCTATATTTGTACCTTTCATCTTAAACTGTCCTGTTGTTTTCATCTCTTGTGGCTTGACATTCACCACTAGTGGACTGTTAGATACATGATTCCCATTCACTTGAACCTCTGCTGTCAACTGACCAGCTACTTTAGCCATGAATTCAACTTCTACTTTACCATCAGTTCTCACATATTTCTTTTCTATTTTCACATTTTCTTCAGGCTTGATTTGAACGTCTAAAACATCCCTTGGATCATGATTGAGTTCTCCTGCAGAGCTTTTAGTCGTTACTATCAGCTTTTCTTTATTCAAAGCTTCTGTCTCAGATTTCACCTGAATAGTGCTCTTAGTAGGGTCTGTTTTCAAACAAGTTTGAATTTCTCCCAGCCCTGAATTCACTTGTCGCATCAGCTCTTCATTAGCAACATATTGTATTCTATAGTCTGGTGGAATATGGTTGAAGATGAAGTTCTGAAAGCATTGTGTCCCTTGAATGTTCATCATTTCGCTTGCAAGTCCCCTTTCCATCACATTCTTGATGTTATATTTGACGGCTGGAATATAATGAATTATATTCAAGTTTGTTGTGGCTGTGTTCAACTTCTCATCGATTTGTCTCAGCAGTTCTCGTTCGTTGTCTTGTAGTATTTGGATGATTTTGTTGGTTTTGTCTTTGACTTCTTTTTTTGCCTTTTCTGCTTGCTGTTTAATTGTGTTAGCAATCTTTTCTTGTTGCTGATTTTCCTTGTCATCTAATCTCAACTGCTCTAATACCTGCAGATGCTTTGACAATTCAGCTTTCTTGATCGAAGCAAACTTATCTAATGACATTGTCTTATGATNGCCATGAATTCAACTTCTACTTTACCATCAGTTCTCACATATTTCTTTTCTATTTTCACATTTTCTTCAGGCTTGATTTGAACGTCTATAACATCCCTTGGATCATGATTGAGTTCTCCTGTCAAGGTTTTAGTTGACACTATCAGCTTCTCTTTCTTTAAAGCTTCTGTCTCAGATTTCACCTGAATAGTGCTCTTAGTATGGTCTGTTTTCGAACAAGTTTGTATTTCTCCCAGCCCTGAATTCACTTGTCGCATCAGCTCTTCATTAGCAACATATTGTATTCTAGAGTATGGTGGAATATGGTTGAAGATGAAGTTCTGAGAGCATTGTGTCTCTTGAATGTTCATCATTTCACTTGCCAGCCCTCTCTCCATCACATTCTTGATGTATTCCTTGACGGCTGGAATATAATGAATTATGTTCAAGTTTGTTGTGGCTGTGTTCAACTTCTCATCGATTTGTCTCAGCAATTCTCGTTCGTTGTCTTGTAGTATTTGAATGATCTTCTTGGTTTTGTCTTTGACTTCTTTTTTTGCCTTTTCTCCTTGTTGTTTGATAGTGTTAGCAATCTTTTCTTGTTGTTGCTTTTCCTTGTCATCTAATCTCAACTGCTCTAATACCTGTAGATGCTTTGACAATACTGCTTTCTTGATCGAAGCAAACTTATGTAATGACATTGTGTTATGATTCCTGTGATCATGTATCAAACACGTCCTGCAAATCATTGCATCACAATCTTCACAGAAGAACTCTAGCCTATGATGAGGGTGACTTGTACAAGGATTTTCTCTTGTTATTACGAACTCAATATCTTCTTTCTTCAAATCAGCCAGACGAACGACCTTGTGATCTTTAATGAAGAACGAATGGCTCTTCTCGCATTCTTGACACAGTGAATGATCACAATCAAAACAATACCAAGAAGCTGACGAATGACTCTCAGAAGCAGAACAAGCCTTTTCTCCTTCTATCAACGCCAGACCCTTCAACATTGTGGAATGTATTAGACTTGGCTGTAGATCTTCGACGCTGCTTAGTTCTGATAGAGAAGTCTGTGATTTGCATCGAGGGCAATTGAAGATGTTGATTTGGTGGACTTGCTCGGCGTGTCGTTTGACGCAAGGCTTACAAAATGTGTGGAAACAAGACAAGATCTTTGGTTCAGTGAAAGTATCATTACACAGGGAACATTGGAGTTCCTTCTTAAGATCTTCAACAAACGATTTCATGTCTTCAGGAGTTGAGACGAGATGAGGGAGTTGTCTGAATAATGTTGTTTGTCAGTCTTTGGTCAGGCGATTCTTGGAAATGAGCGTGACCTTACTTCCTTGAAATGATGTCACGCCATGAATGCATATTTTTTTCGGTTTCTTAATAGTTGAGCTATTGAGCGATTCTTGGAAATGAGCGTGACCTTAAGCTGATGTTACACGGGACGATTTTTTTTATACACAAGTCAACTACTCGCGCAA